CTATGTTTCTAAGTGCATTACATTGCAATTAGTATTACCTCGGGCGTTAGCTAATGCCCACGCTCCGATCTCTGCATGGGTATGTTTCCGGCAAGGCACTATTTTTCAAGCGCACACCTGCCTATTCATCCACATTATCGTTTGCATTCTACCGAGTAACCGTTTAAAACCTGGGTGGAGAGTGGCAAATGTAGATCAATGCCTTGCCGAATGACATTAGTGCCGCAGTGGGACTCGAACCGCGGACCATGTGATCCACAGTCCGGTGACAATGTCCGCTAGACTACGACACCTCTGGAAGCTCAGCTCTACGTTGAGTTTTCCATACGATCCAACTTCGGGAAACACAACATTAATTTTCAGTAAAATGGTAGTTTGTAATAAGCTCATAGGCTCATGAAAAAGAAGAATTATAAGCGAAGAGATGAAAAATATCTTCTCCTCGGCGGGACTTACTTAACCAAACCAGCCAGTTGAGAATAATTGCCCGTTTCTTCGTTCGATGGGACCTTGATCGGAGTGGATGAACTATTGCGAGGTATCTATCAAATCCGAGTAGTACCAGGATGGCGAAAGAAGCTACAGACACGAACTGAGAGGGAGGGGGGAAACAAAAATCATAATTACGCTTATTTACCTCCATGCAGAGGCAGGGCATGGGGCAAATGGGGAAGGGGCGGCTCGTGCTGCCGTGAACGAGGGAAGAGAGAGAGGTAAGGAGAGATGGGGAAGGATCAATGGGACCCCTTCAACACTTTCCTTTCTTGTTGATTCATACTTCACCCCACGGAGTAAGACCGATGACCCTAGGCCTATAATGCAAGTGCCCCCATGGTTAGGACCATACTCTAAGTCCATGCAGGTACGGGTGACTTCTCCCTAGACTATCATCAGGACAATAAGTGAAACCCCAGTTCTATGACCACCCCTCCTGTACATAGGACAACTACCAATGTAGGACAACTACTCTCTAGGACAATAATTATCCATGATAAAATGGCTCCCTTTAAACGCTTCTCTTTACCAATAGTCCTTGGACAACTTCCTATGGGGTGAGACGGCTGCCGGAATATTGGTGATATTAAAACTCGGGGGGGGGGGGGCAGCCCCTCCTAGATCTTACACCCATGTCATGATTGTATATGATAAACAAGAACGGACATAAGTGCTTTATGATGTTATACTTTGTAAAGGATACTTACAATTTGGACAAAGAATATTGCCTTCGCGGCTGAGTCACTTCTGATTATCTCTACTTGGAAGGCGACTTGGCCGATGATAACTACGTTACCCCCGCTGACGATGAGGAGGAAAAGAACACCAAGACATGCCATGTTAGCGATGAAGATGTTGGGTACGGTCCTCATCTGTCGACCGTTCGTAAAGATGATAACGAGGAGGACGATGTTGGTGAAGAGACCCCAGATGATGAGGACGATGTCTACGATGACGAACACCAAGGCGGCGGTGGTAAGGAAATCGCAGTCTTCGGGAGCGATAACAGTTACCATGGCATTCACGCACGTTATGTTCGTCATAGCTGTCGTCACCGATGTCATCATTTCCGTCATTATCGGCGTCAACTTCGTTATCGTTTCTGATGTCGTTGATATTTTCGTCGACCAAAAAGACGCAGTTGAACAACACTGTGATTACTACCTTTGGTTGAAATCGAAAGCCGTCAACTTTAGGCCTAATAATTATTATCTGATCATTTTTTAGCAAATAATGAAGTCATGCAAAGTTATATATAAAAGTAAAAATCTACGCTATATCAGACTGCTACGTCATTGGTTCGGCTTTACCATTGACGGTTGTCATGAAGACCAGACGACGGATCCTCGCTTCGGTTTGTGATGATGGAATTCTTCTTGTAAATCATCTTTTGGATTTTTATCCACGTGTAGAACTTGAATCGGGCTGTATGTTGAAGATGATAACAATGCAGTATAGGGGCGGGGGAATCCGTGGATCTGAGACATCAATATTCAAAGGGGGGTATGTAGTTTACTGATTGCACGAGGAAGAGTGTTTTCCAGTCTCACTGCATGCACAGAGAACATCCCTGCTTATGATATGACCCACTTCAAAATATGACACACCGCTCGATCTCTAAATGATACACTTAAAGCCATCAGCGGTGATGTTTGCGACCGGTCCAAACCAGTTTGCAATTAAAATTAAGCATATTGAGAGAATCGAAGCATGGCCCTGCAAAAGAAAAGCGACGTTAATATCCGACGCGACAATACCTCCGTGTTCAGTGGCCTAATGAGAAATAATTAGCTAAACATCAACAAGCGTAATTCGTGTACGTATATCAGCGCAAATATCTATTTTCACTTGGCGTCAACGATTCACATGAAGAGAAACAGTTATTAGTTACAACCATGTATACGTGTTCTAGTGATAACAAATCCAGTACAGAAACAGTGTAGTCTAGATACAGTTTAATAGACCGATGCGGAATCTAGATTGCCTTTTCTGAATGTCTATAAATACATCGTAATCATGTATTGTATACGGTGATCTGATTTCATATTGAACGAATCCATTCATCATTGATCTACACCGTATCGTGGAATTTCCTGCTGTTATGGGTTATTTTTATTGTTCTTTTTTGTAAGATCAGTCAAGCGAAAAACTAACCATACAACTGTACCTCTACCCATGACGCGCCCGATGCATATTGTGCTCCGTGCAACTTGAGCAAACACCCGCGCATTATGGTTTTTATAACCTTTAGCCCCAAAACTAATGCAAAAATTTCACAACGGTTGATGTTTTCGTCATTACATAGCAATTTGTTTATCTGAAATGAATATAAAAGAGATGATTATGAATTGATGTAGATGAAATCGAGATATCATATTTCACATTGGTATAATTACATTGGTCACTATTAGGAGGCCTATCATTTTAATTCCTAACTATGAATAATATAAAAACATGCATTATTAAATTGAGTGTTTTTATACAGCGCATAATCCAATAGAATATTGCTCAATGCGATTTACAAGAAAAAGTTATGCTGGTTATAAACAACAAATGAGGAAGAGAAATGGAAATAAACATTTTATTGAAGAAGTGTCTCTTTTAATTCTTCTTAAAAGAACTAGTCGAAGTTGAATTTATCATTAGTGTCATTCTATTGCTGTTGATGATATTATTATTATTATTATCATTATCATCATTATCATTATCAACATCATAATCATTGTTATTATCATCATCACCACTATAGTCATTCATGTTATAATTTCGTCATTGATTTCTTTGAAATAAAATAAGTTATTCCCAAGTTGTAACTAGATAAGTAACTGAAAATGCATGTTGCAAGATACATCTTGCAATGCATATGAAGCCGTCGCCTCCGAAATCCTCACAGAGTTTATACATGGCTCCGTTATTCCCCGTAAGCAATGGGTTTAATTTTCACACGGACGAAGGATATACAGTTAATTTTATGCAAACAAATGAAAAACATTTTTTTGGGGGGAACGATGGAGTGATTTAATATATATTTGTTTAAAAAAATGATGAAACCGAGGGGGGGGGGGGGGGGAGGTTGTGGGAACATGATTTGTTACATAATAATGATTAGGGCTATAGTTATCATCCTGATCCGATGGATGAGTCTAACACAGGAAAAAGGAAGCGATAATCTCAAATTTTGTCACCAAAATATATTTATTTCTTGATACTTACAAAACACGACTACAATCTTTTAATTTTCATACGAAATGGAAAATCATAAGGATATTTTGTATGCAGACTAACCTTTTCGTAGAAAAACATAATCACCGTCTGTCCTGCAATCATATGGCAAGTATGGAACATTCTTACAATTTTCAAACAGGTGGGATATCGCAAAACGGACACTTTGAATTTTTGTTAAAGTGAACAATTTATACATTATAATCTCCTCTGATGATCAACGCAAGATCAATTTTTGTTAATGGATTGTGTATTCAGGCAGTAACCTAGGTTTGAGTTATTCTTTTGACATGATTCTCCTTGTTATTTTCAATAAATAAAGTGTTACGAATATGCAAATGAGATGATGATTGATATGCTAATTCCAAGATGTTGCTCGAGTTGAGAATAATAAGCGGATCAAAGGTAACTAAATCGTCTTTATCGATTTTTCTTTATATATTAATATAATTCTGAGTTGAGGAAGGGCCAATGTGAGTTGATTGACAAAAGTATGTCTTTGAAAAAAAGTTGGAAGAGGGCAAGGAAGCCTCGCAATCATTAATGCTGTTCTTCCCGAGGGCCCTGCAATAATTATTACCCCCGGCAATTGCAGTTACCCATTTACACCAGGGCACCGTTGCATAACACTTACCATTGATGGTATTTTTGCCGTCAATGGCTCAACAGCCAATCAAAATCAAGGTTTCCATGGTAGTTATACTGATGATGGCAAAGTTACCTTCCTTGGTAAGTTTTGTGCAACGGGGCCCTGGGTGGAGAGTGGCAAATGTGGATTAATGTTCAGCCAAAATGTTTTGCCCTTAAAGGTACTATGTCCCATTTGCAGGCCAAAAAAATAAAACATTTAAATTCCCACTGCATTTGAAAGATAATACTAATTTAGGACTTCCCTAAAAAAGGTGGGGCTTGAAAATGTCTTTAAGTGGGAAAATAACGACTATTATTTGTCAAATCGACTTTAGGGCTATAGAGCCCAAAAGTAATAGTCTTGATTTTCAGACAATTGTACCGAACGATCATACGTTTTATGCTGCGCAAAGATTCAATCGGTTTAATCTTGGCCATCACAAGAAGTGGGTTATTGATGTAGACAAATGCTCAACTCTTTTCATGTATGTTATTACCAAAGAAGAAAAAAGCTAGTCAGTCACTCAATAGTGTCTGACAGTGAAGTCTAGCAAGTAAACGGGATTCCTTGCATAATTTGAATATGAGGACACTGCTAACGTTTGAATTTCACAGATAGGACATACATGACATATTCATAATTCCTGCAAAGTTCTACAGAATTTGAGGTTGGCTACAAAAGGGACATAGTACCTTTAAGGTGAATTCTCAACAAAAAGTTATGATTCCGTTTTAAACATTTGCCTCAATTTCATTTAACTGGAGGCAGGTCTGGTGTTCAGGTATTGCATATGAAGTGGCAATGACATCTCCAGACGTTGCATCAGAAGAACCAATCTCCGTATCCTTATCACGTGTCTTGTCGTTGCCATGGTATCCTTCATTTACAATTCCATTCGGTAAAATAACATTTTCCTCCATGTTCCCATCGAGATTCACTCCAGTTGATCCCCGACCACTGCTGGTCCGGACGACACCCTCTTGTCCGTTCTGTAGTGTTTTGGATGCCTTTGGCTCACTTGCATTGCCATTCGGTTGGGTCGCCGTGTTGAGGGCGCCCTTCTCTGGCTTCCGAAGATTACATGTCTTTGGACAGAGAAGCTTATAGACAAACGGTCGGAAGGCTTCCTGTTTCAGCGCGTATATGACAGGGTTTAAGCATGTGTTCAGGTAGAGTATCAATATGGCAGAATAGAACAAGACATTACTCACACGCGCACTGACTTGCGTGTGCCCGCCATTTATAAGCCAGAGAAATACCGCAAAGAAGTAACCATAATGCACTATGAAGGACAGAACCACTCGGGATAACGATTTCAAGACTTGAATTCGCTGCTTCCATCTGCGCGCTTGCTCTTCTCCCTGCAGTTGCTTGGTTGTGGGGTTAAACCAAATCACTTTCAAGATGGCGACGTACATCAAGACAAGTAGGATGATAGGAAGCACATAGGCGAATGTAATGAAGATAATCATTGATTTTCTTAAACCAGGGTCGCTGTAAGCTTGAAAGACATCCCGGCTTCCACCCGCAAGGAATACTGGAATCATTGTCAAACCTGCAACTGGAGATTTAAAAAAAACATGAATTGATGAACATATTGAGATTATTCAAACGGTTGTACGACATGCACTTGCTAATGCGACAATAATGCTCCGCGTTAATTTCTTATACTCATCGGATCCCAAACTTCAACTTCAAACTTCAACCATTGATCCCGCTCTATAGGCCTACTTGGCCCTAAACCTAACTTCAAACCCAAATGCAAGTGTAACCCTAACACTATAAATTAGAGAAATAAAGCCCGGAGCAATTATTGTCGCCGGATCAAATATCGGATCACACATAAAAATACGCCTATATTACCTCACTAACAGACAACCGTAAGCTGACAATTCATTCGACGTTGCATCGTCTGATCGTGGTTTGAAACGTCATCTTTCGTAGATAGTAACTCCTTCGATATTGCAGTAATCTGATAAGATTCAGAAATACTGTTTAAAGTTGTATACAGTTATCATAAAGTGTCTGAATTATGGTAGTCAGTTATCCAGAGAGATATGATGATATATCTATGCCATTAAAACTTACTTATCCAAACAAGGCAATTAGCCATCACGGCCCGCTTCTTCGTTCGATATGGTCTTGATCGGAGTGGATGAACTATCGCCAGGTATCGATCAAGCCCCAGTACAACCAGTGTAGTGAAGGAAGCTACAGACACAAACTGAAAGGAAATAAAAAATGAGTGGAGAAACTTATTTTACGATATAATCTAATAATCAACTCCCCCTCCCCTTTTTCCTTTCCCTCACCCCTCTCTCTGTGTAAAACTCTCTCACACTCTCACTATTTTCCCTTCCTTCCTCCTCTTTCTCCCTCTCTCGCTCAACCCCCTTTATCTCTCTCTCTCTCTCTCTCTCTCATCTCTCTGGTTATAAAATGAAAAGAACTGTTAACAGTGGCGGATCCAGGGGAATAAAAAGGGGGCACGTGCACCCTACCAAAAAAATATGTTAAAATCAGTCCTAAATTCGCCCAAAATGTACTGAAAAACAGGGGCGTGCCCCCCCCCCCCCCGGCCAAAACAAACAAAAAAAATATGCCAATGGCTGACCTTAAATGGTCCCCCCCTCCAACGGAGCAAAATTTCAAATAAAAAAATTTCGTGACTAAAAAAAAAAAAAAAAAAAAATGTCCTCTTACCCTCCCCCCCCCCCCGAGTCGTTGCGATATTTTTTGGACCACAAAACAAAAATATATATATGTCCTCTTTCCCACCGTGTGCCCCCCACCCCCCGGCAAGAAATTCCTGGATACGCCCCTGGTTAAGAGTGTGCCGTAACAATGTATTGTAAATAAGCTTTCCAGCTTTCATGGGTCATCGTGACAAGGTATTACTACATAATTTCTTTTCCTTCTCCATGTTATAAGACGGTGGGAGAAAAAGAGAAAGATGAGGAGGAAGAATAGGACGATGAGGAGAAGGAGGAAGAGAGAGAGATAGGGAGAGAGAAAGAGAGAGAGAGAGAGAGAGAGAGAGAGAGAGAGAAGGACAACTAATTATCCAAGCTTTTTGCATAGGACCTGATTGGAGGAGGGAGGGGAGGGAAGGGTGGAGGGGGGAGAAGGGGGTGGTTAAGCCTCTCCTTGAAGCCCCTCCCCTGTATATAACTACATCGCACATGATTGTATTCATGTAAATTCCAAACGAACACTTACGATTTGAATGAAAAATAAAGCAGAGGAGACGGATTCACTTCTGATGATCTCGGCGTGGAAGGCGATTTGGCCAAAGAGGAGGATATTACCACCGCTGACGATGACGAGGAAAAGAATACCGAGAAATGCCATGTTAGCGATGAAGATGTTGGGAATAGTCCTCATCTGCCGACCGTTCGTGAAGATGATGAGGAGGAGCAGGATGTTATTGAAGAGACCCCAGATGATGAGGATGATGCTTACGATGACGAACACCAAGGAGGAAGTGGTCATGAAGTCGCAGTCTTCGGGATCGACGACGGCCGTAAGGTAGTCCATACAGGTAACGTTCTCCCTGGACGCCGTCATCATCGTCATCGCTGACGTCGACATTTCTTTGGATGACATGGACAACGAGGACGACAACGAAAGTGGAGGCGATGTAGAAGTTTCAAACGATGCCGATGGCGATGCTGTTGCCAACACTTTGAGGATGTCACTGTAGACGAGGCAGACGACTAGGATGTCGACGTTTGGTGCGAGGGCGATTGGTGACGATCATGGTGGACATCATGTCGACAATGATAAGATAGAAGTAAATTTACCAATTTCGACAAGACATTACACGGTCCGATGTTTATCAAAATCCAGAGAACTGCAATGACATGTTAAAGTGCATATTGCTCCTATCTAAACCGAACAAGGGATTGACAATCATTCTCCTGGTATCAAAGCACCATCCTGGTTTTGTTCATCTCATTCGAAATTAATTTGATTTCACGACAATATTATAAAATCCACGGTAGGATTATACATCCATCCATCCAAAGTGTTTACCGTAAACGCGATCTTGCCCAAAATGAAGAGATGTCACAAAATCTAATAACATCAGACAGAAACCACTTACTTCTGTCCATGGTAGCGGGGATAACCTGCCCCTTAATTAATGATCCAATGATTTATTGACGAGGAGGGTTAGTGTGTTTTCAAGCCATATCCCGAAAGGTTGTTATTAGGAAAACGTGTCCAATAAGTAGTCCTGTAAATGAGGTTTAATTTCCCAGCCGAAGAGATGTCCATTGAACACTGACACGAAAGGCTCATTCCAGGCACGAACCGTTGTTAAAGTGTATTTACATCACGATTGCAACTTCACTTGAACTCACGCAATATACATCTATGATAATCGACGGAGCTTCATCCATTTACACATTTGTTTCAATATCCCAGTGATTATACCTGTTATGAGGATAGACAGGTAATCTAAACACTGCTGTAAACACAAAATGACCTTTCCCTTATTTCAAGTTTCTATTACACATTCACAAAATATTTGAAAACATGTACTTTGTACTTTTCGTGCCTATTGTTTGATAATAATAACAAAAGAGAGTAACGATCTGATTTCCTGCTGACCCGCATTCTTTCGAAAGATCACCTTTACCGCAAATAAAACCTAGCCATCCGATAACTCACTTTTTGTCAGTAACATATTCACAAGGTCAAATAAGGTCGTTTTCATGCATTGCCCACGCGAGTATTATATATTATCTCTCAGTCAAATTCGAAGTTTTAATCGTTTCACCATTATGATTATCGGGGAATGTCAAGGCTGTTACTAACCTAATTCGTTGTTGTTGCATAATTTTGTTTACATTCGCAAACTCCTCTTGTCAAGATGATCAATCCTTTACAATGAGTGCCAACTAAGTGTCCAGTGTTTGCTTCTATTGAGATTTGAGAAAGCTAATATAACTCTCACAACAGAAAATAATAATAGAAAAAACGAAAACAATTTACATAAAATTGAAAAAAGAAAACCAGGGATTATGATACTGAAGGTGTATTTTAAGGAGAAAATTGCATTGGTTTCTCTAAATGAAGTAAGGGAGAGAGAGAGAGAGAGAGAGAGAGCTGGGAGAGAGAGAGTGAGAGAGTGAGAGAGAGAGAGAGGGAGAGAAAGAGAGACAGAGAGAGACAGAGAGGGAGGGGAGAGAGGGGAGGGAGGAACGGAGAGAGAGAGAAGGGAGAGTATCAATTTATAGAAGAATTTAAAAAGAAAATATTGACACAAGGAAAATAAATAATTATCAACGATACAGCATTTAAAAGTGTAAAAAGGTTCATTTAATTGCTCTTCTTATACATTGTAGAACATTCTTTGAAAACAAAACAATGTCAGAGTGTATTAAAAGACCAAATATTACAATGCCTTGAATCACTTTAGGTCAGTAAATTCTATTGATATCCGTATGAATTATGGTTTTGGATTTATTTTTTTTTCAGTACGACGTTTAACACATACATGATGGCAAGATTTATTATCAATAAATTAAAACATGAATTAGTATCATGTGAAGTGGTTTAAAATTTTGAATGAGAATTAAAGATGTAATTTTCTTAAATGTTGCATAATTAATACAATTCAACTACATAGCCATGATTTACAATAAAAAAATGATGGATTATCATTTGTACTAAAACATACAAATCATTGCATGATCAACTTGCATCAAATATATGCAATCCACTATGATAAAGTTCAAGATATATAAAAATATACAAACTATTATACCATAAACAAGTATAAAACTAAAAATATATAAAAATAGATTATAGTGCTGCTTATTATTATTGATTGATTTTTAATTTTAATTTTTAATTTTTTAAATTAAATAAATGGTCATAACACTGCCAACAGCTTAGAGCTTCTATATAGTATAGCAAGGCCATGATATATATGCACAATAATATACAAATAATGAATGGTCATGAGTTCAATAGTGCGAATATTTTCATGAGTTGAAAGATTAACATTATACAAATAATGAATGGTTATGAGTTCAATAGTGCGAATATGTTCATGAGTTGAAAGATTAACATTCTATTCAACGAGGCGTCAGCCGAGTTGAATAGAATTAACGTTAATCTTTCAACGAATGAAAATATTTGCACTATTAAACGAATGAAAAACATTCATTATTTGTTTTATACAACATCGAAGAAGACCTAATAGAACGTTAATCAACAAATTATGCTTTACTCCTTATAAAGATAAATTACAGTTCGAGTCAAGCCTTCTCAATTACATGCAGATTGCCTTCGCGTCAGATACACGCAGGGATACGCGCGCGCACATGCAGCAGAGAGGTACGCAGTCTGCATATAACCAAAAATGCACGGCGCATATAACCAAAAATGCACGACCGTGCAATATACCATCTATTGAATATCATGTGACCAACAATCGTCCAATCAAATGACAAGGATCCACGTAGGTGTTGTATAATCTATTCTATTCTATTTAATAGAATTAACGTTAATCTTTCAACGAATGAAAATATTTGCACTATTGAACGAATGAAAAACATTCATTATTTGTTTTATACAACATCAAAGAAGATCTAATAGAACGTTAATCAACAAATTATGCTTTACTCCTTATATTTATTAAAGTTGGAGTCAAGCCTTCTCGATTACATACATTCAGATTGCCTTCGCGTCAGATACACACAGGGATACGGGCACCGCAGAGAGGTACGCAGTCTGCATATAACCAAAAATGCACGGTCGTGCAATATAACATCTATTGAATATCATGTGACCAACAATTCTCCAATCAAATGACAAGGATCCATGTAGGTGTTGTATAAAACATATTAATATTAATAATTCGTTCTGGTATAGCACACATTCAAGGAGACGCGATAGCTCAGTCGGTAGAGCAGTGGTCTCGTAATCCAGTGACCCGGGTTCAAACCAAGTCGATGTGCTAGTGCCCTTTGGTAAGGCATTAATCATCATTACCAGGTCCCTCGGAGAGGACCTAAAGCCGTCGGCTGTGTGGTTGCTTACTTACAAGCATTTATGCTTTCTTAGAAGCCAGGTAAAATAACCACCACCATTCATAAGGACATGACACACAACACATTATGATATAACGCCCCTACGCGCTTCCAAAGAGCCTTTGAAATTATTACCCTAGCTTAAGCTCTGGCAGCCGTTACCAGCGCACAGTGCATTTCAGGAAATAATCCTACCAGGAACACATTTACCTCACCTGGGTGGAGAGAGGCAAATGTAGATTAACGTCTTGCCAAAGGACGTTAGTGTTGTGACAGGGATACAGACCCTGTACCTTGTGGTTCAACCGTTCACAGTCCCAGAGACTTATCCACTGGACCACAACACCTCTACATATGAATTCAATATATGATTCAATACAATAACCATTGATGGTCATACCAACCCAAAATAAATACTTGAGATTTCATACTGTGTTTAAACTCAAAGACCCTATCTGAAGACAATATTACTTTATATCAATGGAAAGCTCAATGAATGTAGAATACAAATATATAAACAAATATATGTATATTAGCCCTTTCAGTATTGCACAAAAGCAAATTAAAACCTGGGGAGTGTTTCACAAAGATCCTAAGTTGAACTTATCTCTAAGTTGAACTTAAAAAATATAGAAAGCCATTAGCATCTTTGAACATATTTTGTAAAAGTTATTTTGAAAGGCATTAATTGTTTATTCAAATCATTCATATTTGCTATCATCAAGGAGATTTCATGTTCTGGATGTGGAATTTATAAAAAGTCGAAAATACTTGAATTTCTGCTTTTGAATATATTTCATTTTAAGACTCCAATGGTTGTCCATAATTTTTAAGTCCCAACTTAGAGTTAAGTTCTACTTAGGATCTTTGTGAAACACCCCCCTGGTGATATAACAAGTGGACCACATCGGCTCGCCTACATAGCTGAGGCAATGAGCTATACCCAATTAATGCAAAGTCATTGTGAATATGCATACTCTACGTAAGATGATGTCATCAAGTTGATAGCTAGTTTTTAGGTTGACAACTTCTGATTTTCAATTCTTTAGATTTTGAATTTACAGAGGGCTGTTACTCTTCTGACAGACATTATTATTATTATTATTATTGTAATCTATGGCTTATAAGCTTTCTGTTGATAAATAATTCATCTATTTAATTTTTTCACTTCCAACAGGGTCTTTGAATTGCATTCCATCTCATATAACATCATTTTCACATTTGTTTCATATATATATATATATATATATATACTTAGATTAGGTCTATACCTCCGTACAGTGCTCAATGCTTATGGGCAGAGCAAAATATATATTGGATAAGGCAGACTAATGGAGCATGGTTGCAACTCCGAGTTTCACGCCTTGCGAGCGATCATCAGGCAACTGATGATCGCTCGCAAGGCGTGAAACTCGGAGTTGCAACCATGCTCCATTAGTCTGCCTTATCCAATATATATATATATATATAAATATATATATACATATGTATTGAATACTACTTTCTGTTCACTGTATAAAGGTGAATCTTACTTGTAATCATTAATACCCCATTCACATAAACAGATTTTTCGTACAGTCCTTACGAATCGTCAACTCGTAGTCAATCGCAAGCAGCCGTAAATAACTTGCTAGTATCCGTGTTATATAGAAGAGGCAAATTTTTTTGACATGTCAAAAAATGTTCATACGATTGTCCACGGATTTATTTTCCGTAATTTACTTATAACAATCCGTAAGTATCGTTAAACGCTCCTAAACCGCTCACAACAACACCATCTGTAAACTGCTCACAAGAATCTGTAAATGACTTGTAACAAAAATTTTAACGATTTGTTACGGTCAGTTTACGATTTGTTTACGTATTATTTCTAGTTATAACAAGCACTTTCCATGTAGTTATGAGTACTTTCCAATAGATACGTATAATTTACGTATTCTTACCTATTGTTTACGATTTGGGGAAAGGTATAAAAGCTGCAAAATCGTAAGGACTTGTAAATACTTGCAACTAACTTGTAATTATTTGTAACAACACGTAAACAGGTCGTAAAATGCCCGTTAGTTGCTCGTAGTCATCCACGACAACTCATGACAAATACATCGTAATAACTCGAATTAATCCGTAATAAATCTTAAATAGCTCATATTAACTCGTAACAACTCTGAAATTGGTCGTAAAAGTGGCCAAATCGTAAGGATCTGTGAAAGATCCGTGAATTTGTGCGATCCGTAAGAGCTCATAAGAAAAAGTGAATGTGAAGGGGGTATAAGGTAAACTTTACATTTTTAAACACGATTGTAGTGAAAGCATGATAGTAATGTTGTTGATCTCACACTTACATGCAATGGTAGTACATACATGAATAGTTATTAGGTGTGTGTGGGAGACAGAGACAGAGACAGAGACAGAGACAGACAGAGACAGAGAGAGAGAGGGGAAGTGGGAGAGAGAGAGAGAGAGAGAGGAAGGGGGAGTGGGAGAGAGAGAGAGAGAGAGATACCTAATGCCCTCAAACTCTATAATGATGTGTAACAAAATATTGCAAGCTAATACATATCTAAACAATCTACATATTCAAAGCACATGTGATAATATACAAAACTATATATATAAACATATATACCAGTAGCTTTGAACGTTCAGTATAAGTTTGGTTTGACCCTGTATTAACTTATTTCCCATCATTATAAAAACCCAAGATTATCTCTAATTTGTGATCCGACACATGGCAATGAATAGACTTACACTACCATTGAAGCTACATTTCCAGCATGACTAGCAACTAATCGTTTAGGCGGCATTTTCAAAAGAAGTCTTTTCTCATACTTTTCCCTCTGCTTCTTCGTCTTCATCTCCCTCTTCTTTCTCTCCCCTTCTTCCTGGTCCTCGATAAGCTGATCACTATCTCCATCTCTACGAGTCATCCTCATGCCATTGTTGCTATGGCAGGCAAGTGTGCCTTCATCATCATTTGTACTGTTGATACTCGTGTTACTGTCGATAGGCATTTCTCCAGTACCACACCCAGAGACATTGCTAGGCAGCTCTTCTGTGCTACTCCCACTCACATTGTTGCTAAGCATTTGTCCTAGGCCACTCCCACTCACATCGTTGTTTGGCATCTCTCCAAGGCCACTCCCACTGCTGCCATTGCCATGCACTCCTTCTGGGCTACTCCCACTGATGCTATTACCAAGCTGGTTCTCAGAGGAACCAGCATCTTCCATCTCCTGCCAGGTGATGCAGGGACACACCCTCACGATCTCGGCCAGACGCCGGTGTCGCTTGAAATGCTCCCTGGTGACGCCTCGGTAGAGGATCGGGATGATTCGACTTCTCTTCCTTAGAGTCTGGTCAGCTGCCAAATCAGTCTAGGTGGGGGGGGGGGGGGGATTCAAAAATTACAACAACAATATTAATATAATTCTATAGTGCTGTATTTGTCAGCTCAGGTTCCCATGGGGCTTGCTCAATGCATACATACATCAGTTAAAGGGGTGTAGCATGGCAAATACTGGTTTACCCCAACTACGACTTCTTTTGGACAACTGCACGTAAACGAATGGACTTGATTAACTAGCGTTCGTGAAACAGATCAAAGTTCTCCTGATACTTTGTATGTTGCCCACAAGTGAATATTGTGGTCGCGTCGTTCGTAGTCGTTTTATACCCGATTGGCCCGAGTCAGGCCACGAGAAAGACACATAGTCTCGTCATGCTACACCCTCCTTAAACCTTGAGGTGCACTGCTAATGGTAAATAAATGTACAGTTATAGTTTGCTTGTGTTATATATTATAAATGAGCCAGCATGAATTCTGAATGCTGTATTGTTTATTCAAAAGGAGACATCTGGAAGAATAAATGCACCTCTTTGAAAAATTTCACATAATTCCAACTTGCTTAATATTTAATTTTCAAATGATCTTGGTGAATTGCATGTACTTATCAGTTTAATTAATAAGTCAAAAGTGAGAGCCAGCACCCCTGGCAAAACCAAATCAGGTATCTAGCTAGCATAATAAAATAAAAAGTGCAAAAATTCTGTTTATATACCCCACGGTAAAATATTTTTACTTACAAAGGGTCAAGGAATGTATGATATCCTTCATTTTTCTCACTCAGTGTTCTTCAACTTGTCATTAATATTTGTTGTACTTGTACCCGTAACCCTGAGGGAATATTGCACCCCCCCCCCCCACTGTAAGTATAGCTCACTCACCAATACTTCACTGTGAGAAGATGTTGAGTATTCGGGAGAGATGATGAGAATACATCGTCGGCTTCGTTTCATGCTGACAATCTCCTCCGCTATCAATGCTACAAAAGATGGAGAAGAATAGCAATGGATTATAAACATACAATCATGAAGGTTCATCTGGGGGGTGTTTCACAAAGACTAAGATCGACTTTAAGTTGGACTTAACTATGGCAGGCCATTCATGCCACTGTTTGCTCTCACCATTTACTGGCATTAGTCTCTCAAGGGGCATACAAATCATGGTCACAAATCTACAGAATTTACATTTCTTATCTTATTTACATTTACATTCATTATTGAAGGAAAAAAAGTTATATCTAAAGATCATAAGTCCAACTTAAAATCGATCTTAGTCTTTGTGAAACACTCCCCAGTATTGGTAAGATTTATGTTGTTAGGTAAACTTTTGATCTCAATACATAAAATATTTACCTCCAAAATTGCTGTTCACTACGCCCTAAGTCAGCAACATGACCTGACTTGACCTTTCTAACCTAATTGGCAATAATTGGGTAATAAAATTCAAAAGTAAGTAGCCCCCTAGTCTTTGTTGAGAAAAGGTTTGAGGGGTCTGTCGAGATTGAACCTACGACCTTTGTATTTCACATCAAGTGCTTAAACCACTCCACTACAACACCTCTATTCATTCATCTTCCAGCAATCTATTGATACGTCTGAACTGGCATTTTCTTACCTTCTCCTGGTATAGCATGCATATCTCTCATCCATGCATCATAACCCTGCTGATGGAGGCGCTGCGCTACGGCAATGGCAAACCTCCCATCCTCCGGTGAGTCGCTGAAGCTGATGAAGGCATCATGTTCCATTCCATCTACGTCAGCAAGAAACATAGGGAGAGGAAAATCAAATAAAAGTTAGTCATTACGTCTGCTCGCAACATATATTGAAAGTTACAGAGATGTGAAGTATGTTACGCTTTACGTCATAAAACAATAACGTTGTTGTTTTTTCTGCATCATGTCCGAACAAGCCTTTAGTATTTGATGGGCTTCAGCTAATATGAGACTGACAGTCAACACAATCCACGACCCTCGAGACACACAATATCAGGGGCTTGGGCTTTCTAAAAAGGTATTTTAAGACAATGAGATCAACAGCCAATGAGACTCACACTTTGATCTTGCGGGCCTTGTGACAGATCTTCTTAAGGTTCCTAAGACTGAAAATAATGTTCCCATTGGCTGTTCATCAACCCAGCTGTCCAAGAATGGACAAATTGGTATCGGGATGAATGGTAATTTACCCGTTGTAGATCTTACCATGTTCTTCAATCTTTCCAAACCGATTCTTCCAGTAGAGCTGTAGAGTCAGATGGTATTTGTGACAGGTCACTGTTACCACGGTAACAACCAAGAAGATGACAGTCAATGATACCACGACGCCAACAGTGATCTCAATCATCGTGTCAGGTGCTTGCAGTACAAACAAAAAATAGAATCAAAATTTACTTTGATGATACTGTACTTAATAATAATGATAGAATGAGATGCAATACGCAAAGATTGCTCTGGTGACCACCTGTATAGAATCATTATGACAGATTGCTTTTTCTTTAAAAATTAAATAAAATAAACTTCACATTGATGATTGAGGTTACATCTTTCTTGGTCTGTATGGGCTTTCTTTAGTAAAGTCCAGTGAAGAAAATTTTCATGGAATTTATTTTGTGCCATATCGTATAATTAAAAAACAAACACAAACCAATTTGGCATACCCGAAAGTAAAAATTAAGTCTACACAGTACACATAGATATTGAGTTTTATTTTATATGAATACCCTTGCTATAACACAAGCTCTGAAATAGGAGTTTGTCCAATATTTATATTTTTGTTTTGTATTATTTAGAATGACTGCTGATCTTGAAATCTCACAAGTGTGTTACCTTTCTCAGACTTAAGATTCATTAAAAAAAAAATAGAATTAGATTTGTGTTGACTTGCAAATGCCTGCATCAACCTTTAAACCAAATGCTCATCCTAACATCCTGAAGTAAGATTAAAGGGATCGTTTAGGCGCCTTGAATCAATTCGAGTGGCAGTAATCACGCATGCTTCCTGCAATGCTATGGAAGGCCGTTGATGACTTTATTCACATGCCCCAGACGAATGGAAAAGGGCACACGTGTGCTAACTAACAGGCAGACGTCTACTAATTGACCAATCACCGCCTGTTATTTACCAGATGTGTGCAAGGTGGGATAGTTGATCTCTGTATTAATCCCATGGAATTAAGATAATTCAGCTGTCAACAGATTAAATACATACCTTGTGAGACAATGATTTTTATGGAGTCTCCCTTGTATGCTCCGTTGAGGGTGTAATTCCCAGTGATGACGTAGCTACCAAACATGCCTGATGTAACATCTCTGATTATTAACTGCCTTCCAACTGCAGCTGGAAGATTGCTAGGGGGAAACAAAAATTACAATAATATACAAATGATGCATGGCAATGAGTTCATTATACCATCTACAGTATACGCACTCAAGTTGAGGCTCTGTGCATCTATCGTACACAGAGTCAGGCTGAGTACGATACACGTATAAACAGCCTCAACAAGATCGAGAGAATAGATCTTGTAATGAGCGAATGAAAGTACACATCATTTGTTCTATACATTAAAACACCTAGATCCTTGTTATTTGACGTAAAATGAATTCATTTCAAGATTGTTTTTTGTCATTATTGCTGACGAATAAACCTAAAGTTGAATAGGCTTACTTTAGCAAGCACACAGAGATAAGCAGACTTCGATTCATACACATTAACCAGTAGTACTATCCAAGAATAGGCCCACATACAGTATAAGCATACTAACCTCTATGTAAACTGCTGAGCATCACATACTTAAAAATCATTGGATAGTACTGGAAACTATTGCACGCTTTTTCATGAAGAAAATGTGTGGTAGTCTCAGTAAATGAATCACATGTGATCGCATTCGACCAATCATTTGATTAGGATCTAGGAGTGTTTGGATAATACGTGATAGTAGGGATAGGTGGAGGTGTCGTGGTTTAGTGGTTCATTCACTTGACCCTCAATCTAAGGGTTGAGGGTTCAAATCCCCACCTGGCACTTCTGTCCTTTGGCAAAATATTAATCCACATTTACCACTCTCCACTAAGGTGTTAAATGGGTACCTGGTAGGATGCAATAAGTCAGTGTAGTTTGAGCACCATTGTGGACAACTGAATATTGGGGCCTGGCTGAATTGCTCCCCAGGAAGTGGAGAATGTGCATACGTTATGTGTAGGCAAGCAGCCTGAATTCAATGACCGGGGTAAAGATGTGATATATGTAAATCGCTTAGAGACATTGTCGAAGTATTAAAGGTAATAAAAAGTTTGGGTATGGGGTCATGAATTTAGTTCAAATGAACATATTGGAAGCATATGCGATCCTAAATAATTCAGTGATCGCTGTCGCCGTTGAAATCGAGTCTAAAGTTATGAAATTGTAAATAATACACTCTTTATGTTGTATAGCTCCCTCTCAAGGTCAAGATATTAATTAAGCTATAAAACAATGTTTCTTGACTAAAATTGACCGATTAGATATTCCCGTTTGGAAATTATATATCACAACTACATATTCTGAGATTTTCACGGTCGCAGCTACCATTGTACGGCCATAGGCGCTATTTGAAATTTATCAAAATTTACCGGGAGCACTGGTAAATTTTTATATTCAATATTTCTCGAAAGCAGAAGCGTTTTAGGGGCTAAATTTTCTAGTGCTTATAATACATCCACAGGGGCATCCAAATATCATTATCCACCAATTTTCAAAATTTCCTAAAACTTTGTATTACCTTTAAACTCATTAGAAAAAGGGAAATTTACAAGCTATTCCTGATTTTTCCTATTTCAAATCAAAGATTTTTAAACTCAAATCGAATCGAATCAAATCAAGAGACATTCTTACTATGTTTCAAAACAATCTCTGGAGTAAGTGTTGGGCGATTCCCAATACCGGCTCCCATCCTCATCCTCTCCATCCGTCAGCTGATTTACAGGTACCAGATTCTCATCTTCATCCAGCTTGTTCCATCTGACTTCGGTTACATGAGATTTGTCACCTGCACAGAACTCGCAAAAAAGGTAGACGTCTTCCCCAGGTTTCACCGCCATATCACTGCAGTTGGCATGGTCAATCGTAGATGGGTCATCAGTGAATTTCTCATCTGTCAGAAATGATTTTGATCCTGCATTAATCGTTGTTCCTTCATATGCTGCTTAGCATTAGGTTTTGGGTTAGGTTAAGGGGTTTTAGGTTAGGTTTAAAGTGAAGTGATTGGTCTAGGGGTTAAGACTTTGGCTGATGTAGGAAATTGTCACAGGAGCATGTGTCGTATAATCCTTCAAAGCATTTGAAAAATTACTAATCTAACATTGAATTTGTTATCATTATTAAGATCATTATTATCCTCCTCCTCCTCCTCCTCACCATTACCATCACCATCATCATTTTCATCTTCATCATCATCATCATCATCATCATCATCATCATCATCATCATCATCATCGTCATCATCATCTTCATCATTAGTACTGTTAATTGAGTCAATCACACTCTTCACTAGAACATGGGACACTGGCAAAGTAGAGGCTATGATTGTAAGCAATTAAAAAAAAAAATCATTTGCTATGATGAGGCTACCCAATGGATATAAGACCATACCATAATACCGTTCCCCTGTCTTACCACATACCTTCTACATACACATGGAATGTCCTCTGTATCGTCTCTTCACCATTGGACACCAGACATGTATAGTTCCCGATAGCCTCTTTCTGTGTGTTGGTTATCTCCACGGTCTGATTACAGTCTTTCAGACTCGTATAACATTTACTGCTGCCAGGCATAAAACCAAACGGGAACTCAATCCTGAAATGAATAATGTGGTGGTGGTTATTTTACCTGACTGCTAAGAAAGCATAAATGCTTGTAAGTAAGCAACCAGATGGCCGACGGCTTTCGGTCATCTCCGAGGGACCTGGTAATGAGGATTAATGCCTTACCAAGGGGCACTAGCACATCGACTTGGTTTCGAACCCGGGTCACCAGATTACGAGACCACTGCTCTACCAACTGAGCTATCACGCATCTCAATATGATAGTGGAGAAAGACTAAATACGTACAACATAATTATACTAAGTATTGGAATGCCAAAGCGTATTTAGGGGACCTCCACTCCCCCCCCCCCCTTATCATTGAATCACTTGGCATACTTCAAGTATTCTACCAACAACAGAATTGCCCCTTTATCAATTCCACAGAATTGTGCCACTCCACTTGCAAAACAATTCATAGATCTTCCTAAGATGCTTCAGTATTGTTTTTCTGGGGTTGGAATCAAGTGCTTTATTTTGCTTTGAAATAACCTTGTTTTAAAGTTTCATTTGATGGCAACCCTTCCATTACAACATACATTGTTTAAAAGTAACACAAGTTTATATGTAGGCCTACATGTATGTAGATTGATGAAAAAAACAAAAGCAGAGTCATGTTTCATAAAACTTATTATCAATAACAGGTGTCATTTTTCTATAACAAATTTGCTTAAACATCAATTATTGAAACTTCTTAATGATTTAGTTTTTCATGTTCACAGTTCACAGAGAGTTTAAATACCTGTCATCCTTCAGCCATGTGATGCTGGTGAAACCCTCAGCTTTGCACAACATTGACGGATCCATGTATTTCCCTCTCAAAACGCTGATGTCTAGCTGAACATTAGGGTATTTGAATTTCAAAGAGCTACCTGTGTGGAAAAAGAGAATGAAAACAAAGAGAATTAAAGAGATCCTATACATGTAGGCCCTTAAAGGTAAAGACCAGTATTGGAAATGCCCCAATTTCAAAAAATGAAATGGAAGCTCTCATTACCAATCATGTGAAAGAATATGTTTTGACTAATACATGATGATAAAAAATTTGCTGGGAAACCACCTACTAATTCATATATTTGGTAAATTTGTTTCTCTCATGGTCTGTGAGAGATATAGGGTAGTCCCATATACGTTTTTCTGTGTAAAGTGCTTGTAACTTTACGAAGAATGGGCCAAATTTCTGATCATTTTGATGAATCCAGAACCTTGCAGATGCTAGATGCTAGATGATCAACTTTTTCTGATCGATTCCACAGACCACAACGTTTCTTTCACAATGCAATCGCATGACCATAACTGGTCTTTAACTTTAAAATACAATCTGCCAGATTCTGGACTTTTGAAGCTAATGAATGCTTACCATTATGATTTTCTTGGCAGTTCTCTATCTTTACACAATCAGTGGATGCTCCAGTGATTGGAAGATCAGGCAGAAGAAGATAGACGATAGTTGGCAGAAGACAACACAGCATGCCATGTTCCTTCATCGTGTCAAGAGTCATCAGTTTCTTCCAGGAGAACTGCATTAAAGAAAAGAAAAGTTCCGTTTATTTATACTTCTCAACTTATTGAATGGTTTATTAAAAATCCTGAAAATAGCAGCCCGAGAGCTGAATTACATTCAGTTTACAACAAAAGCACATGAAATACATAGGAATAGTGAAACAATTATTACATACAGTTTTATAGGAGTATACATACAAAGATAAAATTAATAATATATAATATTATTAAAAAACCAAGAATAATTAACACTATTCTGAAAATTAAAATATAGAGCTGTGATATCTTTTATATTACTGGAACTTAATAATGAAAGAAATCATGAGGAAAAAATTAAAACCAGTTTAATAATTTTATGCATACTTTTTGAACAAAACATAAAAAGCTAGCCAGAAGCTTGCCAAAAAAGTGTACAACAACCATTGTATGCAAAGTGGATTCCATCTATAGAGGATCCATTAGGCCAAAAAACAACATGTTAAAGGTATTACAAAGTTTTGGTATGGGGCCATGAATTCGGTTCAAATTAAAATGTTGGGAGCATATACGTTCCTACAATATTCATTGATCGTTGTCGCGGTTGAAATCGAGTCTGAAGTTATGAAATTATAAATAATAAACTCTTTATGTTGTATAGATCCCTCTCAAGGTCAAGCTATTAATTTAGCTTTGAAACAATGTTTCTTGACTAAAATCGACCGATTAGCTATTCCCGTTTGGAAATTATATATCACAACTACATATTCTGAGATTTTCATGGTCGCAGCTACCATTGTACGGCCATAGGCGCTATTTGAAATTTATCCAAATTTACCGGGAGCACCGGTAAATTTTTGTATTCAATTTTTCTCGAAAACAGAAGTGTTTTAGAGGCTAATTTTTTTAGTGCTTATAATACATCCACAGGGATATCAAAATATATCAAAATTGTAAAGATTTAAGCATCGATCCTGCCTTTATGAAAAAAAGGAAGGAGGCCCTTTTTTATATATATTTTTCAATTTGGCTGCTCGCCACCTCTTCGAAGATGTTTGGAAGGGCTATTTCTCAAGATAGAATAGAATTAAAAATTGTTTTTTTAATTAAAAACAAAAAAAAGCAGATGCCCTCAAAAAAGGAAGCACGCGGGGACACTATAAACATGATTTTTTTTTTTTTTCTCGCCTTATTCAGTGAATGGAATGGCTGGCAAACAGAAGTTGTTTTAACATGAAAAAGATAGAAAAAGATGACAAAAGACTAATATTAATCAGTCAACAAGGCATTACAGTAGCAAATCTAAATTTCTAGCTGCCAAAAGACCATGAGGGGGGGGGGGGGGCATGTTAACCGCCATGCTGAGCTGGGGAAGATTTGCAAGATGTAGACTATCATGTTTATTAGAATTCCCCATATTGGCAAAAATCAAGCTGTTATTTCTGTCTACCCATGCCCATAATCTCCATGTGAATGAAACGATTATGAAATATACATACCGTCATATAATATCACACACATTGGCAACTATAAAATGTAAACAACCGATTAGCCGGAACCGCTCCCAGACCCACCAGGTTAATTTACAGCAAGCAGCCATTGAGGAAAGAAATAGCTTCCACGGCCACGAGGGGTTCGTTCGGGCTGCTGGCCGCGCCCGACCGGAGGGCTTCGTAGCACAGGCGTAGCTGACTGTCCCAAGCCCAGTGACAACAGAAATATACTCGACTCAGCTTTTCCGTTTATAATTATATATTAACACTCACCTTTAAAAATACTGTGATTCCAGCGAAATGATTGTCACTCTAGAATCATCACGTGTGTATTGATGCCAAACATTATGATGCATGATATGTTAGACAGTACCAGTATTAGGCAGTAATTGTAACCGGACTCTTTAAAATGGCAGTCTACCCGGATTCTAGTTCAGAGAATTAATCGAGTATGTATATGCGATGGACACGCGCGCATGCGCATGCGAATTGACGAGCACTAAAGTTTTCCCCTATAAACTAAAAGTAGTACATTACGTCATACATGTTATTGGTTGCTGGCGACTTCCTGGGCGGTTTTTCATCAACTAAAATCAATTTCGATTTTAAAAATCAATTTTAAGGCCGAATCAGTTTTAGCTGTAAAACCGATACTTGTGAGCTGTTTCATCAAATCGATTTTAAGATCGATTTTAGGGCTTACACCCCCTGGATATGTGCACCTGTGGGTAGGTCCATGCAAGCATCATTTAAGAGGGGGCATTGCGGCCTTACTCTGCAGATGAGAAGTAAATTAACAGGGTAATTAGCCAGGGACAGGGTTTCGTTACACGTTCTTTTCATTTTCCATTCCCCTTCTCCATCCCCCTCCGTCATTTTATATAGGGCAGCCTGGGCGGCACGTATAAATACCCTCTCCCAGATTTATATTATTTAACCACTATTGATGACGAAACGATCCGAATATAATTCTTAAACAGTGTACCCAACCCCCCCCCCCCCCTTCCCCCTGCATGGGCGGCCAGGTGGAAAAAAGGGGGAAAGGGGGAAAAAGAAGAAGCAAAAAGTAAAACAGTAAAACGGCGCGATTTTGGAAAAATCCTGGATCAGCGACTGGGTCAGCCCCCCCCCCCCCCCTTGGCAAAAAGCTAGATCTGCCCCTGGAATTCATATCGTTTGTTGAGGTCTTCCCCCTTCACCGCCAACTTGAATTGCAGTCACTGACAGTAGGCGTACATTAACGTAAGTGACGGGTCTTCATGTCCTTTTGGTTGTGAACCGACAAGGGGGAGATGGGAGATGGGAAGTTAAATAACAGTGGTATTTAGAAGGTGGCTGGGAGATCCGTGGGCGCGAACTCATTTCTGGTGATATAATATTTTATTCATAAAACCCTCACTGGAACTTGATAATCCCCGTGATAATCTTTTAAATTCGTATTCAAGATTTTAGATGTGATTCTGGTTTTCAATTTGTTTTAAGTGCCGTTTTGCATTAAAGATAAACTCCAGTACTGGTAAAAAAAAAAAATTAATTCTCACAGAATCAAACAAAACTTACACTGAATGTTCAAGATTACAAATAAATGACATGTGCCAAACAATTTTGGAAGAAAATGTATACTGGCTGAGTAATGAGCATAGAAAGACAAGGAAACCAAGGCAGTACCATCCCCGACACCATGTGTGTTGTCCCATATATGGCTTTCTATGTGAGTGTTTGTTACTTTACCAAGACTCGGTCAAATTTATTATGATTTTGATGACTCCAGAACCTTGCAGTGCACACCAATACTTACATGCTACATGATCAACTGTTTCTGATCCTTTCACACCTTTTCTTTCACAATGCAATCGCATTACCAGTACTAAAGTTTAGCTTTAACTCGCTCCCCTCTTTTTTGTTACGATCCTAGTCTAATATATACTTTTGCTTCAAGTATGTGTATGTCTATCGACAGTTGTATGCCTATGGACAGTTCTGTGCCAATTAAGTCTGACCCTGTGTCCTGTGTCATCTCATCACTCACGACTACCCCAAGAATAATATCATCCAACAACAGTTCTTTCCATAACCACCCTCCCTTCCCTTATCCAGAAATGATAACCTCCACCTTATTATATTAGATGTTATAAATATTATTTCACTTTCGTGTTTATTCTCTGTCAGCTTCCTGAAGACTTTGTGCGTCTAATAATAAAGACACACTACTCTTTAAAACACTCGCTATATTCCATTCTTGCTCTCTTTCAAGTTCCTTCCGAATCTTTCTCCCCGCATTCAAATTCTACTCTAATTCAGATAACTATCACTCAAAACACTTTCTATATTAAAAATTCAGTTATCGTGAAAAATCACATACTCTCCAGTCTCCAACGACTTTATTACAAGAACGACAACCTCACTTTCACTACTCTCACTGAAACAATAATGAACATATCATACTATAGGTTTCAATTATACTGAAAGCTTCTTTATTGAATAACAAACATTGACAACCAAAGAGCTTTGAAAAAATTCAATCCAAACACAATTTCTTCATATTTCTCGTCGAGAATTCATATAAACGGATAAAATATTAACCACTGATCTGGGTCCAAGATTGTGGTGATACAAATTGATACAAAAATTAAATCGAAAAATGTGAAAAACTAATTGTTACACGTTTGTAGTTAATAATAATGGCAGTTTCAAGAGAGTTGTGCGTGATTTCTATATGAAACATCAGGGGTGCCGTGAGAGAAATTTTGTTACATCTAAAAGTTATTTTGGAATAATATCGATTAAAACATCATTTTAGTTTACAATTCTTATAAACTATTGACCACTGACTGTGTCCAAGATTTTGATGATACAAATTTAACTCGAAAATGGGAAAAGGTCTTTGTTTCACGTTTGTTACAAATTTTGAAAGATCAAGTCGATGCCAATTTCAATATTGCAGAGTTCTTCAACAGGTGTGCCGCGAGAGGAATTTAGTTATACATGCATCAATTTATTTTAATAACGTCGATATCGCAAATTAACTTTTGAAACAGACTTAGAGTATGCTGTTTCATAAAGAAATAGGAAATAGCACTTTGCAATAAAGTTTCAAAAAGTGTACTTCTTTCTCGCTGGCATTATTTAGAAACGGGATAATTTTAGGATGTGTAGTGTCTGAATAACGCCATTTTCGGCAATATTATCATTCTATTATCCAGTTTACGGTTGCAGTCTGAGCATGAGCAGATAAAGGTCATTCGTACCCAAAAGGTAAAACCCACAGAGATGAACAGGCGCGGATCCACGGGGGGGGGGGGGGGGGGGGGGGGCGACGGGCCGGCCCCCTGGCTTTTTTTCGGGATCAAATACAAAAAATAAATGATGCATATACCCCCCTTCCCACTGAGCGAGATATTGGTAGGCTCGATTTTCACATTTTCGGGGACATATACCCCCAAAAAATGATGCTCACTACCCCCCCCCCCCTCCTCCCCCTCCCACTGAGCGAGATATTGGTCGGCACGATTTTCACATTTTAGGCCCACCCTATCGGCAAATCCTGGATCCTCCCCTGGAGATGAATACTGGATATGCGCTCATGAAAGTTATGTAACATTATTCATTTATGCACCAACGGTACATTATAAGATACGCAGGTGGAAGTATTCTTTTCAAGAGGGCAAACAAAAGGTATTCATGAAGCACATCTAGGACTTTGGCAGTTAGTATTCTAAAATGCTCAAAGTGGAACTTCTCCATGTGTAAAAGATCTGTGGATATTTGGGGTCGTTTGTACCATTTGCCATTTTTGTGTTCATTGTTCTGTTTTCAAAGAAATAAAAATGAGGATGAATTACAGTAGGTCATAATTCTAATTCAACCCAATTAGATAATTAAGCGCACAACGCCTGATTACTAAGCGGCTGACAGCAACAAGCTGCCGCGCGTTACGCCTCTCTTGAAAATCACTGTCAAAATGCAGAAATAGATAAATAACAACAAAATATAAAATGTCATGTCTCAATCCATCTTATAAGCCTTCATGACAGCGCCGCGAACGCTACGGTAATACCTCAACATGCCAGCGTCGTTGAAGTTGAAACCGTCAGACGAGAAAAGCCTGGTGTGATTGAGCGCAAAAGAGCGATGGCGCCAAAAGTGCACGTTCGGCAAACCTTTAAGAAATTTGGCGAGCAGACGGTTAGTGTCTTGTACACTTGCGTTGAAGTTCGGCTTCCAATTCGGCACAAACAAACGCGGGATAATACTACACACGAGTACATGACGCACGCCGGGTATGCGCGCAATACGAAGCGCAAGATCGACAATAGAAAGCATGGTGGATTCGGTAGTCGCGCGCCCGTCACACAGGTCGTTGGACCCGAGATCGAGCACCACGGCGTCTGGCGATAGATTCCAAACGAGATCAAGCTGTGAAGACGCGGAGAAGACACTGCCCGGCTGATCATGGCCCACATCGTGCATGAAAGAGAGAACGGAAGATTTCTCGAGACTGAGGTTATCCCGCTTGGGATCGCGCGCGATGTACTGATTGAGACGGCTGATGTAACTGTGACCGAGTACAAGAACAACAGGAGGTTCGCGATCGGAATCGGAAGAGCAGCACGACATACTATCAGCAGACATTTCGGAATACGTCGAAGCTTGGAGAAAATGCGAAGTAATAACGTTTAAACGGGGAGCTTTGGTGTAAATAATGCGGTAATTTGAGAGATTTCAAGAGCAAGCTAGATGCAGCGTGAAAACACGTTCGAGAAGTCACAGAGTAGACTGAAGATTTACAAGAAAAGTGTAGTATTTTATAGAAAACCTCGCCATTGAATTTGCGACGAAGTGCAAAGTCAATGCGGTTGGTTAAGACTTAGCACCAATGAGGTTGCTCCGTCCCTATGACAATAGAATACAACCAATTAACATTCTAAAGCTCGCCCGGAATGCAGGGGGCGTGGATGTGAAGGTTACGTAACAACGTGATTGGTTCAGACTTTGCACCAATGAGAGAGCTCCGCCCTAATACAATGGAAGACAACCAATTAACTTCCGAAAGCTCGCCCGGAATGACGGGGGCGTGGATGTGAAGGTTACGTAACAACCTGATTGGTTCAAACTTTGCACCAATGAGAGAGCTCCGCCCTAATACAATGGAAGACAACCAATTAACTTCCGAAAGCTCGCCCGGAATGCAGGGGGCGTAACAATGTGATTGGTTCAGACTTTGCACCAATGAAAGAGCTCCGTCACCAATACAATAGAAGATAACCAATTAACATTTGATAGCTCGCCCAGAATGCCGGGGGCGTGTGTGTACCAGTTACGTAACGTCCATCTAATACAATCCAATGTCAAAATTGAAAGTGATGCTTTTGTTTAAAATCACGACCTGATTAACAGGTCTCGTAAAACATAGCATGTTCGAGAGT